CCGATTTCATCCCATATCTGAATTCGTGTAACTAACTACAGATAAACACAATCAAATTCAGGATAAACATCTCATTTTAAATATAAAAAATCTAAAATATAATTAGTATAATAATTATATTCTAACAGAATACTTAATTATTATCTTTATAAAATTTATAATATTAAACAAAAAATAAATTGTTTATTAATGCCTATTACTTAAAACTCAAGATTACAAGTAAATTGTATGTAGATACAACTTATTAAAGCTCCATATYTGATTACAAGTAAATTGTGCGTAGGTATAACTAATTGCGGATAAATATAATCAAGTAGAAGATAAATATCTTATTTCAAAATATAAAAAATCTAAAATATAATTAGAATAATTGTCGAGTTCTAACAAAATAATTATTTATTATCTTTATAAGAAAATTATATTATTAAACCAAATATAAATTACTTCATTATTGTACCTAAATTAAATTATAATAAAAAATTGAATTAAAAAATTACACAAAAAATAGGAATTTTAAATAGTTAATTTGACACGAATATCGATATATTTTTATTAAAAAAAACATTATCGCTTTCTCAAAATCACATAAAGCCATATTATAATATCGACTGAGATAAAAAATAAAATGATAAATAATACAACAAAATATAATATATAATATAATATAATAGTTATATAATATAACTTAAAATTATAAATGAATAAATAAATAAATATATTTATATATATATGTGTCTATGTATATATTTAATAATAAAATATAATTATTATTATTTGATATTGACATTTAAAGACATATCAATTACAATTCTCGAGCCATTCAACACCCCCTGTTGAGGGTGCCATTAGCACTCCCCGTACGCAAAACCTGCTCCCTTCTCCATCAACTGATTTCTTTTTGTACGAGAAGAGGAACCATCACCATTGCAATCACAGTCACTATTCTTCTCCATCACCATTTCGTCAGTCTTACAAAGAAACCATCTCCATCACCACCACTATGCACTCTTGTTCTCTTTATTTCCCGTCCATCACTAACCCGAGACATCACCATTTCTTTTCCTTCCCCTGTCCATCTCCAACGCAATCCATCACGCCCTCCTTCCCTCCCTTCCCATCGCAGTCAACGGCCGCTACTTCCACGCCACCCCTTGCATCACCATCGTCACACACGGTCATCATGTACGACGCTCCTCCCCTATCTTCTTCCTTTTTAACTTGATCGCTCAATAAGGCAGTAGCAACCGTGTCTGTTTCAAACATCACAAGGGCGAAGAAAGAACCACATAACCCGATTTTGGTCAAGTAACACCAGGTACGTTGTCCTTTACCTCTAATCTGATTCAATCAAGCAAAATGGTTGGTCAAATGGTTTCTGTGTGCTTAATCGAACAGTGTGTAGGGTTCTGATGCTAATTTCTATTGGCGACCATAAACCCTAGTTCTAGTACATTACGCGAATGTGTAATTTTGGGTTAGAGGCTAACTGAGCAAACCTACAATGGGTTTTTAACCTCTGTGGATTGTTTCAAGTAGATGAACCCTGTAAACCCTGTGTTTCTCTTAAACACATATGAGTTTCAAGTACTGATCCATTGTGGTCTGTGTGTTTACTTTGCAAAGACAAGACTGAGGGTCTTTTGTGATTTTGGGGTCTTTGTGTTGTCACCTAGTGATAAGTTACCTAAAGGTATCTGTGTTTTCCTTGTTCCAACCAAAAGCCTAAAGCTCCAAAAGCTGATCAAAATGGGTTTCATTTGTAACCTATTAGGCTGGAATTAGATATATGTACCTTTTAGCATAAACAGGCTTTGGGGCCATTGTCCTAGTACATAAAACCGATTTTGGCTCTTATGATTTTACAAGGCACCAGCAGATCAAAAGCTAGAGCCTGGTAACTATCATTAGAGAAATCTATTTCAATCCCTGAGTCTTGTTCATATTAGGAATATGCTAGGAAAGGTGGGGCAATGTTTGAATGAGATGGATCCGGCATTTACGCAGAAATTGATCATTCATTTTTATGTTCTTTATTTACCAAAAGATGGAATATTTGAACATCATTCTCAAAACATTAGTCTAACTTTGATCAAGTAACAGCCAGAGAAACTCATTAAGGCTCCTTGTCTCCTACAACAGATTTTGAGCTCTGTGATTGCGATACCAGGCCACAGGACCTTAAGTCTTGTTCTTAGGTTGCAAAGTCTCATTGAGAGAAGGGAGAGGTTGTGAGCAAAAGGAGTATTTGTTCAAAATGTTTATAATAGCCTTTGGTTAAAAAAACAAGGCTGTTTTTCTTTGATTGGTGTGAGCAAAAGATGAGCATAATTTCTTTTTAAACATAGTTTCTTTCTAGACCACCTGCAAGTAGATTTGATTTTATCACTTTACTATTGTAGGTTCTATGTGACACTATGGTTAACTTGATTTTTTGTTCCATTTAGCTCTATACTTCAACTTGCTTAAAGGTTTGATATTTACAGATTGCTTATGTTATCACACATATACCAAGCTTAATTTCTGTCCATTTGCTATATGTTGAAAGCATAATCATGATCCCATTTGTTGTCCTACCTTGTGTATATTTTGACTTTGTGATCTTCCTACATTGAATCCCACGATCAAAACTGCTGGCTGTGCAAACAGCCAATTTTTTTTGGATGTAATTCAATCATCAAAGTTTCTGGTTGATGTTTTGAGCATGACCATTATGTGAATAAGGTGTCTGCCTTGATTTTTGCCTACACCTGTATGACACTAAGTTGTTAGCATATGATGAACACTTGATCACACAGCTGATTGCACCAACAACCAATTTGGTTGTTATTCCACAGCAGTCATGGTCAGGTAGCAGCCTGTCATTTGTTCCTTGTCTTTGTGTAACTTGAGCATTGGTGTCATTGTGTGCTTAAGCTTACCTATAAGATTGATGTAACTCTAAATTGCATATTCAACCCACACAAAGTACAAGGACTGATTTCTGTCCATTTGCTGTCCTGCTATGTGTATATCTTGACATTGTGATACTTGTATGACTTCTTGCATTTGATCCCATGATCAAACTGATGACTGTGCAAACAGCCATTTTGGTCTATGATCATGCCATACCCAAACACAAAGTTACTGGTTGCTATTTTGATCATAACCATCATGTGAGTAAGGTGGATGTCTTGGTCATATAGAGTTTGTTTCAGCTATCCTAAGCAGTATGTCTGATTGCCATAACAAGTTTTAGGACCCTAAGTCTTGTTCTTGGGGTACATAACCTTGTTGAGAAAAGGGAAAAGTTTTGGTAAAAATGATTTTTTGATCAGATGATCAAATGACCATGGGTTTTGAAAACAGGGCTATTTCTTTTTGGTAGGTTTAATCCAAAGATGGATGAACATCATTGTCTGCTGCATAAGTGCCTGTTTTGATCTCTGTTTGGTTTTCTTGATCTTAGTTTCAAGTCCTTAGTGTCCTGTCCTTCAAAGCCACTTGGATACAAATTGCCTTTGGTTTGTTCAAAAAGCATGCATAAAGTGGGTTTCTTTCCATATCACAACTTGATTTTGAGTCATATGTGCTTATCATAAGCCAGTCTTAAGACAGCAGCAAGCAAAGCTCAACTTTGATCTCTATCCATGTTTGAAATCAGGTAGCTTTGTATTCATATGCTTTGCATGATTAGACACATGATTTTAATTGATTTCTAGCACCAGTTTCCAAATCATACTCTGCTACCTGTGTCTTTTTGCATTTGATCCAAGGATCAAACTACTGGCTTTGCAAACAGCCATTTTGGGCTATAATTAGGCAGTCAAAGTTGTTGTAATTCTACATGTTGGGCTATAATTCTTCCACAATCAAGTTAATGGGTGATATTTTGGTCATGGCCATCATGAGAATAAGGTGTTTACCTTGATCTTGCCTACCTATGTGTGTGACCCCTAAGTCGTTTGAACATGGGTTCATCAAATGTTCCACAGTAGTCATGGTCAGGCAGCAGCCTGCTTTTTGATCTTGGTCTTAGTGTATTGATTTTGGTCCATATGTTTAGAACATGATCTTCTAAAAGTTTGCAGGCTACAAAACCCTTGATTTTGGACTTTAAGAGTGCATGTCTTGATATTGGGTGCCATGAATATAGTGCCAACAACAAGGAAAAGATGATCCCTATGTGTATGTCCTCTTTTAAACATAACAACTTGTTTTGGCCCTTGGGTGAATTTTCTTGGTTTCTTTTCATGTGTATATATCTTAAGTTTTTGGGTTTGTAACTCCATGAATTCATACAGCAGGCTGTCCAAACAGCCATGGTAATTTGAAACAGCTGCCACCACAGTGATCTTGATCCCTGTGTGTGTAACCTTTTTTAAAACTTAACAGCCTGCAGGCTCTTGGGTCTATATGTATGTTTATCTTGTTTTGGCTCTTGGGACTTGTAGACCCTAAGACCCAAGGTGTGTTGATTTTTCATGATGATGGTCCAAACACTTTACCACACCACAACCATGAACTAAAATGCAAAAATCTATATGTAACATTGGTCCTAACTTGGTTTATTCTTTTGTGCAGGTTTGGTATGGATGACCAACCACCACCTGGGTTCCCTCACCCTTCCCAACCTTCCAATCCTCCCATACCACAAACCACTATGCCTATCCCAACCAACTTAGCTAACCTACAACCATAGTTGCTAAGATCAATCCTCCCATGTCCTACCCCCCCTTAGAGCCATTCTATTCGGCCAAACAGGCCCTTTACCTACAGTTTTAACCCCAACACCCATCCCACCTACCATTCCCTTAGCCCAAACAGTCCCTTTAGCCAATTCCATTACCCAAACAGCCCATACACTTGATGTCCTAACACCAACAGCCCCTAAACCCACTGTTTCAACACCACCAGCCCCCACCTCTACTATTTTTCAAACCCAAACAGCCCCACCCCCTTCTCCTCCACCTAAACCTAAACCCAAAGCCCGTAGGCCAGCCACTAGATCCACAGAAAGACATGTCACCAAGCCAATGACCAAAGAGGAGGGTGATGCCATAGATGTGGAAACTTATGTTCCCAAAGGTTTGCCTAAACCTAAGCAAAGGAAGCCAAGAGCCAAACGAATGAAGATAAAGGATGAGGTTCAAGATGATGCACAACCCTCGGGAGTACCACCTACAGTTGAGCCACTCTCCCAAGGTGTTAGCAAGACAGAAAGCACAGAATTTGACATATGCCACCAAATCCCCATTGTAAGTCTTTCTGATACTTCATTACATGAGCACACACACACCTTTGATGCTAAAATTGATCACACCATAAAAAATGGGAGCCTCATGAGAGTCAAAGAATGCTTGGTGAGGACTCTCTCTTTGACATTGATCTCAATGCCTTTTTCATGGAAGAGGAGGGCCAAACTCACTTACTTGAATGGCCAACTTCCACCACTTCTTTGGATGTTATCACTCTCATAGATGCACACACATCACACCACCAATTTAATGACTCTCCCATGGTTGACTTGGGGATGGTGGATTTGACTTCACAGCACTACACTCCCCCACCTTTCACCATGGCATTTGATAGATTCAATAACCCATTCTATGCACTTCCCCCTTTTCCTTTCTACATCCCAACTTCCCACATGAACTTTGATGCATATGATGCCCTTATGCTCATACCACCCATCACTAGCACCTACACTGCACCACTTGTGAGCACTACCTTTGATGCCTTTCCAGACTTCCAGCCCACTTCCATCCCTTCTCCTGACATGTCTGGACAGAAGTCCAATGAGGATAGCAACCGGACCTCTAGTGACTCTGACTTAGTCCCTATTGAGAGGTTCTCCAAGAGGAGACGGGCTGAGTCTGAAGACTCTGAGTGGACTCCTGATGAGGACATTCCATTGTCCCAACTAAGGAGATCCAAAAGACATCAAGTAGCACCTAGCCCACCGAAAAAGAAAGCCCGCACTACACCAATGGATAGCCACAGTGAGAGCAGCCGTAGACCAAGAAATTTTCAGAAATTTAAGGCTTTTTAGGGTTTAGGTGAGAGAGGATTTGATAGGGGTTGTCTGGAGACCTATTCCTTTATACATGACATCGTTATCCAAAAGGGATGGGAGACCTTCACTGCTGTTAGAGAGCCCTATTTCCTCACATGGGTTCAAGAATTTTATGCATCAGTTTCTTCCACACACACTACCTCAGTTCATGTTAGGGGTAAAAAGATCTCTTATTCTCCACATGCCATAAATACTTTCTATGATTTGATTGCGCCTCCAGTATGTGAGTATCGCAGGTTGTTACATGACCACACTGATGAGGATTTGAAGATGGTACTGACTGTTGTAGCGGAAGAGGGAGCCACTTGGAAGGCTCCACCAAAAGCGCAGTCCGCTCAAATTTCAAACCAAGCTTTTGAAGAAGAATGCGGCCGTGTGAATCATTTCTGAAATATTCATTTCGCCCTACCACATACGACTCAAGCACATCATTGGACCGCATGCTTTTACTTTACTGTATTCTTGCAGGTAAGGCGGTTGATGTTGGGGGTCATCTCAGATGTCATTCAAGGATACACCAGGAAACCCACCGGACGGCTCTACTTCCCGGCATTGATACATGGATTAATCAAGAAGGCGAAAGTACCAGTACCACCTGGCAAGGCACTTACAACCAATGCACTACCCATCGAGTGCAAAACAATTGATCGGATCCTTAAAACCCCAAGAAATGAACCCGGACAGCCCTCACTTGCTCCTGACAACATCCACAAGGAGATTGATTTGATGCTTGAATTCCGTAGATTGAAGGAGAAAGTCACCGCATTAGAGACCACCTTGGAACAGAACGCCCAGACCCATCACACCACCATGGAGAGAGCACTGAAAGCCCATGAAGAGACACTATTGAAGAAGATGGAGGAGAGAGATGCACGGCTCATGGCCGACTTGAAGGACATGCTTGCCGGGATGTCTCGGCGCCCCGAGGACCATTGATGGCACATACTCCACACGAGTAAGCAGGTTTATCTATCATCCCTTTTAGCTCCAATTTACTTTTTCCATTATATTTTTTTCCTTTTTCTATGAGTGGGAATTGTCCGTGTCAGTCTTTTTAGTTTTAGATTTTTTTTTAGAAATGGAATTTTATGGCCTAAACTTCACTCTCACCGACTTGCGTTTATAGCTTGAGTAATTTAAAAGTGATGTGAGTTTGAGTGCTAATTTACATTACAATACTAGAACTAGCCAACTCTTTTCCGGGCTGCAACTTGATTTAAATTGTCACTACTTAGGATATGATCTAGGCCATCTCTTCTCCATAACCGGGCAAAGCCCTATACACTCCCCTTGCACCCCACTGAGCCACATATATAAATCACAATGGGGACATGGTTGTCTCTAAGTTGGGGGGAATTTTGTCAAAAAGAGCAAAGCTCTATCAAAGGGAAAAAAACAAAAAAAATAGAGAAAATGTTTAAAAAGCATTGGAAAAAAAGCAAAAATGCAAAAATAAAAAGAGAAAATGGCTACAAAAAGCCAAATAAATATTTATGTAAGAAAAAGGCAGAGTTATATGAGAGAGAAAAAGCCAAAGAGAGAAACCCGACAAGTCCTTTTGATCCTAATAGGTGACAATGTTTAAAAATCAGACGAAAGAAAAGTGAGGCTAGCCTATGGTATATAAATGTGGTTAGTACAAAACTTCCACTTTGATTTACGAAAAGCTATTTATAATAAGAAAGTGGTAGTTGTAAGTGTCGGTGCCCATTCTTTTCCATCTTATTTGAGTCTTTTATTTGTCTTTTTATGTTGTTCGGGGACAAACAACAATTCTAGTTTGGGGGTGTGACAAGTATCAATCTATTTGATACTTTTACACTTTTTCTTCACTTTATTTACTCATTTTATTTTCCCAAATTCTACAAATTGAGTCTTTGTTTTGTTTTTCTATCTTTTTATATTGGAGCTAAAGTAATGTGATAAACATGTTTACTTCTTGGATGTGTGCTGATTTTTGGGAAAATAGCCTTGTTTCTAGGTACTTGGCTGAAGCATGCTACAGTATATGTTGCAGGACGATCTAGGGGCATTCTTGAGAATAGTATGAAATCTTTTGAGGTCACTTCTTCCCTTTTTAGTAGCCCATCTTCTGCAGCTTTCAAGATCTCATAGAACTAATTCAAGATCTAATTTTTGGCATCTTCTAGGTGGTTTTGGCTTTGCCCATTGTTTTGTGTAAAAGGGTGGGTAAAAGCTTTTACTTATTGGATTTTATCCTCCCTTCCTCCACTATATAAAGGGAGGAGGCTTGGCTTTAGAGGAAAGCAATTTGGATGCAACAATCCTAGTAAAACACTTGATATAGTTTGGTTCTTTTGGTATAAAGTTGTAGTTGCAAGTATTCTTCTTCTTTATAATTCCTTTTTACATTTATTTCTCTTGTCATCTTTTCTTCTCTTAAGTTCTCCTCATTATGCTTTATAATTTATGCAATTAATATTAGTAGTTAAAATATTTTAAGTCTCTTTTACAAATCCATCTTTACATTTATTTCTTCCACTTTCTCTTCTTCCCTTGTGTTCTACTTATTATGCTTTATAAATTATAAAGTAGGCTTGAGAGAGTTACTTAGAATCGAGGAGACTCATTTTCGCTCCATATTGCTTATAAAAGGAATAGTTTGAGTCAATGTCGGGACTCCAGCCTTCCATAGAGATATGAGGGTTGGATCTATGACTGTGTGTCATTCTACATCTCGAGAGAGTACCTTAAAGAAGTTATTAGTTGTAAAGTAAGTCATTTATAAAGCATGTTATAAAACCATGATGTAGCATGTTGTCTACTTTTAAATCGGTTTAATATCTTAACGAATCCCTTCACCCTAAGCTTTCTGTTATTACTTGTTCACAACAGTAGTGTTTAATCAACTCACCACAAATATTTTCTCGAATTCACCATCTGAAATTATATCTTTATTTATACTATTAAAACGAACTTTTATTTCTTTTTCTCCGTCGACGATATTCGGTATTTTTACCACTTTATTACTTGTAAAAGACGATAGTGGGTTGATGAGTGTATACTTGCACTAGTCTCTATTTGTTAACAGTCTGAGAGATTTATTTAATATAATTCTCGTAACACTGGCCTTTTTACAAAATCATTAGATGAGAAAAGATTTATGTTTCTTGTCAGCAAGATGGGTATGTTGAATCTCACCACTTAAGGAAAATCATCTTTTCCAATAAGAGATTCTCAATATCTCAAGGTTATGCCAAAAGTAACCATCCTTCACAACCAGAGCCTCTGGTTGTATAGACCAGAGCTTCTAGTTACCCTTTTTTCTCCCCTATTGGTTCTAGGGGGAGTTTTTACTCATTTCACATCCCCTTGCATCATTTTAGGGGGAGTCATGCATATATCATAAACCCTTAATGATCCAAAATGAACCTATCATCTCTCTGGTTGTGCATCTCAAGCCAACCAGAGACCCTCTGGTTCCATACCTTGGTTCTTTTTGTTTGCGTTTTCAAAACTAGAGCCTTTGGCTCCTCTATCCAAAGCTTCTAGATCCCAAAAATGTTATATTATGGAGTAATTTATCCCTTGTATTCAACCAGAGCCCCTCTGGTTCCTTTTAAAGGGTATATTTTTATTCCAAGGGTTTAATATGATGACCCAGAGCCTCTGGTTCATCTATCCAGAGCCTCTGCCTCATCAAAACCCAACATTTCTTGATGAACTTGTTCATCACACCTAACCACAAAACCTCTAGTCCCCCCCCAAAAAAAGTCATGACCAACTAGAGCCCCTTTAGTTCCATGACAAATCTATTTTTTCCAAAAACTCATCTTTAATTGCAAACATTTTAAAGATTATACAAAATTGTAGCTTTTGTGACTAAAAACTATACAACATGGGTTTTTAGAAGATCAAAACTTCATAATTAGTATTTATCCTCCAATTAGATGAAATTTTAAATTTAAATATTTTTTTTGGGATTATTTTCTTGAGAGTTATCCTTTGGGATAATTATTATTTTCTAATAATTATCCCTAAATACCCCAAACGTTACCCTTCCACGTACCTGACACCACAAAAAGCATGTTCCCTAGAAACCCTCCATATTGCCCTCCCTTCAACCCCACGTTGACACGTGTCCCTACCCCACCTGCACCATTATGATCGTGAGCTGTCTTTACGGCTCACGATCACAAACCTTTCACCTTTTTACCCAAACGTCACCACCATCATCATCCCTTTCCTATTATTTTATTATTATTTTTAAACCAACCACTCGTCTCCTTCCTCCTATATAAAGCCTCCTTCCCCACCAAATACCCTTTTACGCCTTCTAAACTCTCTTAAGAACAAAAACCTACAAACCTGCAACTTACGACCTTGAAACCATGGTTTCATCCGCCTCACACGAATCCAACAACCACGACAGCCATGTATAATTGACTGGCGCAGACAGTCGAGCAATCGTTTCCTTCCCATTAAGCCCAACAATCACGCTATCGACTTTCGTCCTCAACTTTTTGAGGACATGTTCACCATACTAATCATGTTTTTTCAAAACTGCATTCTTCAATCGGCCCTCACCCTCTCCGACAACGAGGTTCCGATTGAGTATATTCAACAGTACTGGCAAACATGTGACTTCTACCTGGAAAACCGTGGTATCATGGGCGACATTGATGTCCCCAATGACATGGTTTGCTCGATTAAAATTTTCCGAGCAAAGATCTCCCGGGTCCTTTTCATTCCTACCCGACAAGAACTCGGGATTGCGTGTTTCGAAGACCCACCAACAAGTCACGACATTTTGCGTTTCATACAGATGTTGGGCTACAACCGCGAGCTCCGGAACGCCTCCGGCTTCAAGCAACAATACCTTCCACCCATGTGGAACGTATTTTTCAGCGTTCTCAACAGAGCTCTCACGTGCAAACTAGGGAGCATGGTCCAGGGCAACATCAACATTATGACCATCATGTATGGTCTTTTCTTCAACTTGCTGCTGGACTATGCCCTCTTGATCTACAACGACATCCACGCCGCCGTGGTGAAGAAGAATAAGTTAATGGCCACAAGGAAGCTGGTCACATCTGTGCTCTTTCCTCGTTTCCTTGCCCTCTTCATCAAGGATGCGATGAAAGTGCACAAATGCGATGCACCATTCACCCCTCAATATGTTATGAATGGTCATCGCCCCACCATCTCCAAAGATGGTTACCCCGCATAGAGGCCTTTGTCAAGGGCCATGTTAAGTGTCATTCCAGACACCTCCATTACCCGTAGGTCCTATGAAAGCTCTATGCTAGTCCAACAACCGCGACCAGCTACCCTAGAGCATATAGAGCCCTCCCCAGATACAAGCGATGGATCACAAGGTGAGAGGATTTCATCGGATGATGAATCTGATGATGATGACAGTCCTCCTACCTCTCCCGACCCTATGCCCACTTCTGTTCCATCTCCCCAACCACAACCCCGGGCAACCACATCTACTATCCCTGGCGACCAAGGCCAAAGGGATATTGAACAAGGACCGCCCAGTCTGATCCCTACCCAAGCAAGCCATCCATAGGCCATTCATCAGGTCTCTAGAGATGACATAGCTGAGGAACCTCACCATCCATCACCTCTCTCCCAACAGAAGGGTGATGAAGAAATAAGAGTAACTTCTTCTCAGGGCTCGACACTCCCCTCACACACAGAAGCATTTGTTGCTTCTGACTTTGAAATACCCATCGATCATTCAGAGCGGTCGCCCTTTCATGCACACACCCCCTCGATACTTGGTCTATCGACGAGGAAACACACGTACTTCTCTTCACCAGAATCTGAATTCGATGAGGAAGAAGCACATGTAGCAACATCTCGAGATAGTTTCTCTCTTGAGGGCTATCAAGGACGATATGGAAGTCCTCCCTTGCCTCCCTCTCCTCAAGGCATCGATGGAGGCGCCTCAGAAACAGAGGCTCAACCTACAACATCCGTTGCTGTAGGGGTTACTCCCGTTGCTAAGTTAGTCACAAAGGCCAAGTTCCAGGCCTTTGCTGACTCTATTCAGTGGTCCTTGGATGACCTTAAACTCAATATAGCGAGGATTGTTGAATCCACCCCCACCATTGACCTTTCATCAATTCAGCAATCCCTCGCGTCCCTCGAAGCTCAATCGAGGGACAATACCACGAGAATTCAGTTGTTCCAGCGTCTGATGGTCCAACAACACAACTTTCATGTCATCTTTAGGACCACCAGACATAACTCCATCAACGCATCCCTAGCCGCCCTCTCGGCACAAATAACCACTATCGATGCTTCCATCACCACCCTTACCACCCAAGTCACCAACATTGCCAATTCCATCGCCTCCCTACCCTCCACTATAATAGCCAGTATACCACAAACTGCCCCCCCTACCTTCCTCTGCAGCACCCACCCCCGATGAAGCCTTTACCTCATTTGATGCAGAGATACGAACCCTCATATCCTCTATCACCATACCACCTACTACCTCCACCTCCACATCCACCCCCCATGACGTGGTCACTCGGGCTGACCAACGCTCTCTAACAAAGGCATTGATCTCAAACTTCAATGAGATTAATGCCAAGTTCACATCAAGAACCATCAAGCCCACCAATGCCCTAAAAAGAGCCTCATGCAACAGCAAGAGCGCCACAACTCTCTCCTCCTCACGATGGAGAGAACGCGAAGGAGAGAATCGGTCAGGAAGTATGTTGAGTCGCAGAGGCTCAAGAAGAAGAAGAGGAGTCATGCCTCATGCTCCACCAGTTGCCCTCTCAAGAGGCCACGGCATGACGACCCAAACCAAGATGATCATGGTCTTGGTCCTCATGAGGGGGAGAATCCATCCATTACCTCGATGGAAACCGCAACACCCCCACCACCACAAGCTCAATAACCAACCTTCTAACCAACCAATGAAACAGAGGCGAGGGAACCAGAGGCTCAGCCCTCTGATGATGTACATAATGTACAGGTTCCCTCTGCAGACATTGTAAACCTATCACCACCAGCCAATGAGTCCTCACCAATTTTAGTGAGTTCTTCATCATCCTCTAATCAACCACCCTCTACCTCACCAGAACCAGTCATTCCCTTTACCCCATGACCAACACCACCTTCATCACCAAAACCCACTCCTATACAGTCAGAGCCCACACCCATACAACCAGAACCCATAAACCCTTAACCAGAAACTACATCCCAACCAGAACCACATATATCCCAACCAGAACCACAAATAAGCCAACCAGAACCACCCATTAGCCAACCTACCCAAACGGTGCTTGCAAATATACCCTCCTCCTCAAGGCAACCTCCATCCATTAATCGAGTGTAAGAAATCGTAGCAAAGATGGAGACCCTAAGGATACGTCCAC